CCTCTCCTACTGGCCTACTACTGCTAAACAAAACCATTGATTGGGCTTACATAGCCTGTTGGCTACTACAGTAGTGTATTACCAACGCATTCATGACTCTCTTCGTTGCCTCTCCTACTGGCCTACTACTGCTAAACAAAACCATTGATTGGGCTTACATAGCCTGTTGGCTACTACAGTAGTGTATTACCAACGCATTCATGACTCTCTTCGTTGCCTCTCCTACTGGCCTACTACTGCTAAACAAAACCATTGATTGGGCTTACATAGCCTGTTGGCTACTACAGTAGTGTATTACCAACGCATTCATGACTCTCTTCGTTGCCTCTCCTACTGGCCTACTACTGCTAAACAAAACCATTGATTAGGCTTACATAGCCTGTTGGCTACTACAGTAGTGTATTACCAACGCATTCATGACTCTCTTCGTTGCCTCTCCTACTGGCCTACTACTGCTAAACAAAACCATTGATTGGGCTTACATAGCCTGTTGGCTACTACAGTAGTGTATTACCAACGCATTCATGACTCTCTTCGTTGCCTCTCCTACTGGCCTACTACTGCTAAACAAAACCATTGATTAGGCTTACATAGCCTGTTGGCTACTACAGTAGTGTATTACCAACGCATTCATGACTCTCTTCGTTGCCTCTCCTACTGGCCTACTACTGCTAAACAAAACCATTGATTAGGCTTACATAGCCTGTTGGCTACTACAGTAGTGTATTACCAACGCATTCATGACTCTCTTCGTTGTCTCTCCTACTGGCCTACTACTGCTAAACAAAACCATTGATTGGGCTTACATAGCCTGTTGGCTACTACAGTAGTGTATTACCAACGCATTCATGACTCTCTTCGTTGCCTCTCCTACTGGCCTACTACTGCTAAACAAAACCATTGATTAGGCTTACATAGCCTGTTGGCTACTACAGTAGTGTATTACCAACGCATTCATGACTCTCTTCGTTGCCTCTCCTACTGGCCTACTACTGCTAAACAAAACCATTGATTAGGCTTACATAGCCTGTTGGCTACTACAGTAGTGTATTACCAACGCATTCATGGCTCTCTTCGTTGCCTCTCCTACTGGCCTACTACTGCTAAACAAAACCATTGATTAGGCTTACATAGCCTGTTGGCTACTACAGTAGTGTATTACCAACGCATTCATGACTCTCTTCGTTGCCTCTCCTACTGGCCTACTGCTAAACAAAACCATTGATTGGGCCTACATAGCCTGTTGGCTACTACAGTAGTGTATTACCAACGCATTCATGACTCTCTTCGTTGCCTCTCCTACTGGCCTACTGCTAAACAAAACCATTGATTAGGCCTACATAGCCTGTTGGCTACTACAGTAGTGTATTACCAACGCATTCATGACTCTCTTCGTTGCCTCTCGTTGTAGAACTAACACTTTTTATAATTTTGTTTAAAGTTGTATCTGCGACTATAATCAGTTGCCTGTTTTGTTTTGTTTCTTGTTTTTGTATAAAATATATTTCACGTCTAACTAAGTAGATCAATCTCATAGCTATCTTTCATTTATACACAATTTATAAAAGAACAAACCAAATCTAAACGTAATTTTTACAACTGCAGACCTGTATCTCTATAGCGTGGTCGAAGTTGATAGAAAGCAACGACAAGATTGGCCTAGTTATTGTAACGGGAAGCCCAAGAGGAACCTTGCGAATTAGCGGAACTTATTATTTATAGACGAACAGTCTTACTGTAGATAACGCTATCTAACACTTGGCAAGTTGACGAGTTAGTTATAAACGTGAAATACCATTGTCTAGGGAGGTCTCGTAGTGTTTGAAATCACGCTGGAAGCTCTGTACATTGCATGTTATACAAGTAATGCAGTTTAATGTTTCAAAGATACAAATGCTTTAGATTTATTGAGGTAAAATTTAATTCGAAACTAATAATATTTTTTAATATTGTTTTAGTGGAACATTACAGATCGTAATAGAATCTGCAACGATACAAAAGTTTCGCTATACAAGCCAAAGTATACAACGGATCGAAGTGGCTTCTCGCGTAAATACAGTAGTGTATAATATACAAAACGTCTTCCATAGCTAGGCTCTAAATATTTGACACTTGGAGATTGAACATTCAGTGGTTTCTTCTGGTAGGTCGATAGGTGCAATGGGATCCGGCAGACCGTTTCTGTTAGCTTGTAAATTATTTATAAATAAAAATACTAAAAAAAACACGTTTTTAAACGCACTAAAAAGTATAAAATAATTTATAAAATGTTGAGAGAATAAATACTTGCAAGATTTAGAACGAAAAACGTGGGGCGCATGCTGATTTACAATTAACTTCACCTATTGAACTATTATGATATATTGCATGCGCCCCACGTTTTTCGTTTTAAATCTTACAAGTATTTATTCTCTCAACATTTTATAAATTATTTTATACTTTTTAGTGCGTTTAAAAACGTGTTTTTTAAGTATTTTTATTTATAAATAACTATCTAGTTTTTAGTCTTTAATGTGTAAATATGTTAAATATATTTTATATAGCCTCTTAATGCATAACCAAAACCTTATTATCTGTAATCAGATGTTTTATCTTTACTTTGAAATGATTGTTTTATATTTTTAGAATATCTCGGGAGCAGAACCTGTACCTCTTAACCTCTGCTCTTCGAACTGTCAAACTTAAGTATTTACAGCTGACTTAAATTAATTTATATGTTTACATTCTTTTAAAATGTAAACATGGAAAATTTGGAAGCCAAAGGGGCGTAGCCCAAGGGAAATATGAAAATTAAATTATATAATATTGCATTGTCATCCATTTGTGAGCTATGTTTCAAGTTTCAAGTCTCTAGCTCATCGGAAACTTCGTTTAAAATTGATATCAAAATTTGTAGGAAATCGAGCTAATAAAAACAAGCCCATGGGGCGTAGCTCAAGGGAAATATGAAAATTAAATTATATAATATAGCAATGTCTTCCATTTGTGAGCCATGTTTCAAGTTTCAAGTCTCTAGCTCATCGGGAAGTTAGTATAAAATTGATTTCAAAATTTGTACCGGACAAGAAAGCGAGCTAATAAAAACGTTTTAATAAAATGTGTGAACATTCTTATGCAATTTTTCAGTTCATTTTGTTAATACTTTTAAATGGTAATTAATTTTTATGGACTTCAGTGCCACTATCATGTAGCATCAATACAGTTACAGTACAGTAGGTAAGCCACTTATATCTTTGGATTTGACATGACTTACTTTAACTTATATAAGGAGGAAAAGTAACTGATATTTAAAGTCACACTTTGATATTTTATGATGGGTTTTAGGCTACTGATTTGTTTCTTATACGTCGATATCTTGATAAACATAAACTAAAACGTTTACTTAATGCTAGAGGAAATATTGCTATATTCAGATTGTATTCGCTTATTTTGGTAATGGCGTTAGTTTTATAAGAATAAGGTCTAACGTAGCTAAAAAATGTTTACAATAATATAGCAAACTAATTTTTCCGGTCAGACATGACTTACTTTAACTTATATAAGGAGGAAAAGTAACTGATATTTAAAGTCACACTTTGATATTTTATGATGGGTTTTAGGCTACTGATTTGTTTCTTATACGTCGATATCTTGATAAACATAAACTAAAACGTTTACTTAATGCTAGAGGAAATATTGCTATATTCAGATTGTATTCGCTTATTTTGGTAATGGCGTTAGTTTTATAAGAATAAGGTCTAACGTAGCTAAAAAATGTTTACAATAATATAGCAAACTAATTTTTCCGGTCAAAATTTCAACCAACAAAATGCGTTGGTATGTAGACCTGAACAACGTAAATAACGAATATACAAGTAACACAGATACCGGAGGTTCTTCCCTGTGTGGGGAAAAGATAAGTATCAATCAAGGTCATATTTACATTCGTTTCCACGAGGACAAAACAGCTCAATAGTGTAGCCATTGAATGTTAAACAAGTTAACTCATTATATATTACAATATCGATGAAAACGAAATGTTAAATGATAAATTATCCGCAGTCAAGTTGGTTACACATACAGTAGCACATAGCAACAAGTCCGCGAGGGATCAAAAGATTCTGCTAGGGTTATGTATAAAATGTGGTATCTGTTCGTAAATTTGTAAACTTTATTTCACCCACTATTCTTGCATCCATATTATATTTGCTTTTGTAAAATTATTTTTGTCTAATGTATTCAGAAACTTTTCTTCGTTTATCTAAGTAAATTTAAAAAACTAGTTGGAGGAAGCCGTTATGTTTACACAATTTAAGTCGTATTCGTATGCCCTACATATTATTATGTGCCCCAGATTTAAATGTGTATACGGACCTACTTGTTCAACAAATACTAATGCCAACAGTTAGTTTGGTATGGCCAACTTGTATGATAGAATTTAATAGTTTATAAAATGTCTAAAATAATTGTTTGAATATTGGAATATATAAAAGCTTATTTAAATCACGTTCTAATATTTGTGTTAGAAATATATAGCTACTAACTCCAATAGCTAGTAAACGTACTCTTTGTTTGACAAATTGATAGATTAAAACCAGCAACATTCAGATGATAATTATTACTAATTTGCCTATAATTTATCAATGAGTAATGAATACAGAAAATAAACTCTTTTGTGACCCCCGTATAAAATAATATGTGCACCGGATTTAATTGTATTTACAGACTAGCTTATTCGACAAATAGCTAGGCAGAATATTGGCTTGGTGTGGCACGATTTTAGAATAAAATTAACTGCATTTCAATAACTTAGCAAATGGAAATGACCAAAACGATGTATGAACGTAAGATGCAAACTTCGTTAACCACCGATAGTTATCTGATAAAGATCAGCAACTTAAAGGCGATAATTGTCAATATGTTTATCATCTATCAGTAAAAAAACAATAAACAAATACAGGTTCAGAGAACAAACAAAAATTTTTTAACAAGACGTTATAAATAAATGAAAGAGATCGTACCTTGTTCGACACCTCTAGAGAGCAGTCCTTGACAGTGTACCCGGGACAGAGGCGCAGCACCGACTGTAGACTCTCTCAGACTGTGACTGTACTGTGTGTAGTACAGTATAGTGTATTGTGGTCGGTCGAGCGTTTTGCACCTCTTTTCCCCTTCCTCCCTCCCTCCCCCTCAAAAGAGGCCGTGAACTTCTAACGGTTCTCAATCTCACCACCTCCGAAATCTGGCCCTCACTATCACTATCTACCCAGCCTAGCCCCGACGTCTCAAAAGCTGTTTTGTGCTCCAAAATCAACATGACATCGATTTTTCAAGAGAGGTTTTTGATGTATTGTTTTGTTTTTATATGTCTCGTTGGCTACTGGAAACCTCTAGCCATGGATCTTGGAGATGGACATTTTAAAATGATGTCTCAAACTTTTGCTCTATTATCACAACTATTCTGTTGGGGCTCATACAGGTCGTGTTTTGTATTTAGGTTTTAAGTGTTTATTACTGGATCTGGAAGAAAAGGAAACGTTTTAAGTGGAGAGATTTCTCTAAATTTTTTCTGTAAACTATCGTCACCATTCTTATATTTTAAAGTAGCCATTAAATTTGGGTAGTTATTTAGTATAAAAATCGCCTAATGATTATATTATTGCGTGTCATTTTTATTTACATTATTATACAATTCTGCCAGTTTAGTGTCACGATTTTATTGTACGTAACGTTGTTCTTTTTATTAATAACATCAACAAAATTGTTACTAAACAGTATGTAACTTGATACATAATTAAAATTGATGTAGTCTTCAAAGTGATACATCTATACGATTTTAAGCTACTCAATCTTTCGAATTTTTCAATTTCAATGATCAAACCTTATTGCAAGTTGGTTATAGCAACTGATTTTCATCACCTATTTTAAAACGTTTTTATTAGGTCGCTTTCTTGTCCGGTACAAATTTTACAATAAATTTTATACTAACTTTCCGATGAGCTAGAGACTTGAAACTTGAAACATAGCTCACAAATGGATGACAATGCAAAATTATGAATTTAATTTTCATATTCCCCTTGGGCTACGCCCCATGGGCTTGTTTTTATTAGCTCGCTTTCCTACAAATTTTGATATCAATTTTAATCGAAGTTCCCGATGAGTTAGAGACTTGAAATTTGAAACATAGCTCACAAATGGATGACAATGCAATATTATATCATTTAATTTTCATAATTCCCATGGGCTACGTACCATGGGCTTCCCAATTTTCATGGTTTACATTTTGAAAGAATGTAAATATATCAATTAATTGAAGTCAGCTGTAAATACTCAAATTTGATAGTTTGAAGAGCAGAGGTTAAGAGGTACAGGTTATGCTCCCAAGAGATTCTTTATACGAACAAACATTTCAAAATAAAGATAAACAATCTGATTGCAGATATAAAGGTGTTTGTTAATAATGTCAATTGTTATTTATTTAGTATTCTATAAAGTAAACAATAAATTAAATAGATTGATATATATATAGTTAGTAGGTAGGCCATACATTCAATCGAATACATAAAAAGTAGAAAATAATTGATAAATAAAAACACTTTTTTAAAACAAAACATTTTTAAACGCACTAAAAAGTAGAAAATAATTTATAAATATGTGGAGAGTATAAATACTTGTAAGATTTAAAACTAAAAACGTGGGGTGCATGCAATTGATAATAATACATTATTTCAATAGGTGAAGGTAATTTTATATTATCTATTGCATGCACCCCACGTTTTTCGTTTTAAATCTTACAAGTAAAAATATCCGTTATTTATGGACCACGCTTTATACTGGAAAATATTTTCATAGTTCAATAACGACCATTTCTAGACGGAGAAGTAACGACTAACTAAACGCCTAAACAAGCAATTTTCCTCAATTGTCGTGCGATTCTCACTTGATTACTACAATTACATCAGCAACCTTGAGACAAATTCTTGTAAAAATGCATCCTACATAAAAACACTTGATATCAAACTGGTTTATAGAATCTCAATTGTAAAAGATCGAATTAGAGAAGTGAAGCATGATTAGAAATTAACTCGACCGTGGTTGGTTCTCATACGGTATACCGTACCTTTATTATTCACTTTACTTTTTTATGTCCTATAAGAGAAATTGCAAGTTTCAGTTATATTAATGAATTTCAAGTAGGTATAGGCATTACTGTATTTCTAATAATGTATAATTTTCGGAATACAGTATATATAGAATTAAACCCTACACGTTAATATAGGAAACATCATTTTGATTTTGCAAATTACATTATCTAAATCGAATCAACATTAAGAAAACATACGGGATTTAGCAGCGAATTTGGAATTTAAAGGGTTTGCTTCTTAATGTAATTTGAAGTGTCCGATTTAACTGTTATCGAGATCGACTTTAATTCAGAAAATAATCATTGTTCAACTCCATATACTTATAATAGATTTACATCGCATACTTGATCAAGACAATAAACCAACACTGCTATTGTTTTACAGGTTCTATCTAATCTGAGTTGTATTCCATAGCCACAAAAACGGGCTTAGACAATTTTAATTCGAGTTAACAACAGATTTTTTCGTTGTAGATTGGAACGTCTGTACCCCGTCGTTATCACAGGGTGTATAATCATTAACTAAATTCTTAACGGAAATCTGGATACGTGTTTGAACAATCAAAACCCACAAAAATCAAAATCCGTCAGGACCGAAAAGATATAGGCTATTCTTAGGAAATATGTCAACTAATTTCTACATCAAGTCATTTGTAGTAAAACCTTTTCACTTATTATTTCGTGGTGTTGTGAAATGGTTCGATTGTTCGATAGTAGTGTACTCCACCGAGCTACTGAAGATACGCATTTTTATGTTCTAAACAACAAGAGTTTCACTCTTTTTGATGGACAAATAAAGAGAAATTAAAGTTCAAAGTCAGAATTGAAGTGCTTTGTGGACCAGTAAAACTAAACAATAGCACCAACGTTAACTCATATTTTACATTTAAAACGAGTAATATTCGTAAAATAATTTGGACGTTAAAAACTTGACTTACCAACAACAGCCAAACCACATTATCTGCAACATTTAAACTTACCAATATCACTTCGTCCATGTACTGACGAAAGACAAAAATTTTTAGTTTTAATAAAAAAAACCGTGATAACAGTTTTAAACAAAATGCTATTAGACTCACGAAGCTTAATGCTAAGACGCCTTGAGTTTTCAAGATTCGGGGAAGCCTTAAAGCTGACATCTTATTAGTCTTGATTACATCATAGCATTACATCAACGTTTTATCTGATAATCTTGGAGTCATGATCAAAACCCTATGAAAATATCTCATAGCAAAGAATTTATTTAGATGACTTAATTGTCTGTATAGAAGTGTTGTCGTGTCAACATGATCTGGCTAGAAGGAACTGCAATCTATCTTTAGCGTAAAGGTATGTAGTGTTGTTAATCATTCGATGTTTGGATTAGGAATATTCATATGCTACGATTAATTTCAATGTAGTACTGCAAAATTATTACTGTATTTATAGCAGTAAAATAGAGTAATATCATCAATTATTATTCTATAAAGCAAGAAATTATAAATAAACAATTAGGTATTTATAGTTTATACAACGGGTGCACATCTATATTATCTATATTATACAGGGTGTTTGGTAGTCAGTGTTAAATATTTTAAGGCATTATTATGCACGCAAATTGAGATAAAAATACGCAACTTGGATAGTTATATCTCACTCCTACTTCCAGCAACAGCCATTTTTCCAAATTTCTTGACATTGCCTAATAAAATCTCTTATTTCTCAACTTTTAGCCTACATAATGATATTTTTAATTGCATTTTTAGAATCTTCATTAATTTTCTTTATCAGAACACATATAATATGGTACAGCTTAACCCATTCAAAAGTTTGTAAATTCAAATTAAATAACAAATGATTAAAAATCGTTAAAAAGGGCGCTACAACTCCCTTAAGAATTTTTTTTTCAAGTTGTGTTAAAAAATGTCAAATAATATAAAAAACATCTCCACATTTTAAGCTTTAAAATTATATGTAATATGTGACATGCAATGTCAGCCTAAGGGGATAAATATATTGCGTTAAACATAAAATAAATTTTTTTTTTTATTAACTGCACTCATTAACAAGAACCCATTTAGTGAAAGTTGTGTGCAAAAGGTATCTGTAATTAAGTTTACCCCAAGTAAACTTGTAATATAATATAATTTCAAAATTGCGGCCGTTTGAATTTTTCCAACTGAAATAACTCAAAAACGGCTAATTCTATGAAACAATGTCTAAGATACTTTTTTCATTTTTAATTTCCTATCAAACGATACCAAGATCAAAAAGATCGGACAAAACATAACTGAAATATAACGTTGTTTGTGTAAAAATAAGTCAAAGTTTGTCGGGGAACCCTTTTTTTTGCCTTATTTTTACACAAACAACCTTATATTTTAGTTATCTTTTGTCTTTTGAAATTAAAAATGCTAAAAAAAGTATACTTGACATTTTTTTATTGTATTAGCCGGTTTTGAGTTATTTAAGCTAGAAAAACTCAAACGGCCGCAATTTTGAAATTTACAATCGGAACAACTTTATTATTTATTTCTATTATAGGTTTTGTGTACCTATGTTAAGATGTTTACCAAATTTCACAATCATCGAATAAAAAACTTCACAGATAAAAATATTTTTGTATAAAAAACAAAATGGCGGATATCTGGGTAAATATGCATTTTCCGACATACCTTCCCATTAACTTTTTTCTTCCTTTTAGTATGGGGATTCATTTCCCAAAGTCCTGAAACGTTTTTTATGGACACCCTGTATATAATACGCTAATGCGAGACTACATATAGTATTGCATATTAAATGTTCTGGAGATATACGAACTTATCACAAGTGAGCATCATGAGAAAATGTAGTGATTGCACGTTGCATTGCCTACCCTACATATAGTATTGCATATTACATGTTCTGGATATATACGAACTTATCACAAGTGAGCATCATGAGAACATGTAGTGATTGGACGTTGCATTGCCTGCCCTACATATAGTATTGCATATTACATGTT